TTAATCTCCATGGCAAGTATCCGTGAATGGCAGCTCTTGAGATAGGACGGAAATTTGAATCATTTTTCATCAATTTTCCTACTTACAAGCATGATAACTAGAATGTACTTCAGAGTCACAAATCCAAGCAATTGAAATCCTTTCTTTAAACTTAGTTTAGTCTTTTTCATTCAGTTCAGCTCAAGGCTGAGTTCCTCACATAAAGATGTGTTTTGGACTGCCTTGTCAGGAGCTCTCTGAGGAACAAGGGCAAACCCCTCTACAAAATGCTGTTGTGCTTGCACTTACAAATCAGTTACAGCAGTCTGATAAAAGCAAAATGAGTCACTTTCTTCCAGTGAGTCTTTTCGGCTTTGTCTTTCAAATACAAAACCTGTTGCTGTTAAGGATACTTTGCTTTTGAGGCTCTGGTTAGCTCTGTAGCAAGCAGCTACGTTTGATACCATTTCTATTATTTTCTACTACTTTGAAAGAAAGTGTTTCCCATGAAGAAAGACATTCAGAAACGCTGTACTGACATCCATTGACTTCTACCACTGCTACAAAGCACAGCTGAATTTGGATTAGAATCTAAGTGATCTCAGGTGATGATAATAGCATTATGGTTGTGTGGTTTGGCTAGACAGATGGAAGTCCCTCCTCTCACTGCACCAGTCATGGTCAGGCTTAGCCTCTGCCTACAAGTGACTGCATCATGTTGGATGTTTTACCTTCTTTGTCTCCTGTACTGACATGACAGTACTCCATAGGGAAGACAACCTTTTACTATTATTAGATAGTGCCTTGACCCTGAGCCTTCTGTTGGCAGCCCCTTAAGGATAGAAATCAAGTGAAAGCAGTGCCAAGCTGCTGTCTTGTGTGAAGATGAGACGATCAAATACACGTTTAAGCTCCTTGATAGCAATGCCACCCATACGCAGACTCTATGGCCTATAAAAGGAATTACAAAAATCCAGCTGAGATGTAATGAAAACAAAAATTAATGACTTTGTATCTTTCTGTGAGAGTCCTGGTGTCAGCTTTGCTGATTCCTAGAGATGCCAGCATGACACTTTTGGTATACTCCAAGTAAAAAATTCAATGAATGACCCCAACTTTATGTTCAAAGTGGCATGAATATAAAACTGACAACTCATATTCAACATGTTTTTGAAGATTTTAAACCCCAGGAAATATTCAGAAATACAGGGCTGACTGTCATTTTGATGTGTAGGTGAATCCGCAATGGTTTCCTTGGGGTCTTATGAGACTGAAAAATGAATTTTGTGTCAGCTTCCTAACAGCGGGTTCCTGTTGACATGAAGCAACATAGAGCTGCTCCCCCAGGACCTCAGTACCAAGTCAAGCTGGGTGAAAACACTTAATTGAAGTGTAGAAAACAAAACAAAAGACTGAAAACATTTCAGACAACCATAAACATTCAATGCTTGAAACAAGTCAACAAGCATGCTACGGAGAAGCAAAAACCTAACTCAACAACTCAAGAAAAATATCCCGAACTAATTTCTCAACAAAACGTGTCAGAAGATCATGTTTTCACAGTGGTTTCCAAGTGAAAAGCAAGATTTACTGTCATTGCTCCTACAGAAGTTTTCACTGAGAAGTGGTAACCTTATTCCAGAGACAAAATGTTCAAACTAGTCAACACTTCCAAAGGGAAATAAAGCTGCTTTTCTGTCTCAGAAACCCTGCTGGCTGCCAGTGTTGACACAAAACTCGCTCTTGACCAAGCTCCTGAATGCTCAGCAAGCTCAGTAGGGTGGTGTAGTTGTTTTGTTTATTTATAAGCGTGGCAAGTTTCCTACTGTAGCTGCTACCACATTTAAATGATCTTGGCAAGGGTGAGGTGTATGGGATACATTCTGAAGGACTATGTCAGTGCCTGGCAGGCAATTTCCTCTTATTTTTTTAAAGCCCAAAACACATCTTTCCAGCCTCTGCTAAGTGTTACTATTTCTGAAGATATATGAAGCAGGTAAAATGGTAGGAGTGCTAGAAGGGAGATAAACAAGGACTTTGGAAAAAAGCTTCACACTGACCTTGAAGCAGAATACTGAGAGCTCTCCAGGCAGGTTTTTCTTCCCGTATAACCACTCATGGCAGACAAATATATTACTTAGATTTCTGCAAGGTATCCTAGAAGTCACCGCATTTTACCATCCCAGAAAGCCAAAGAGGAAGTCTTTTTAAAGTCAAGGAGCATTTTCCTAGATCCATAGTAAGTCTACAGGCAGAACACTGGCATCTAAATCTATCTGAACTGACCTTCAGAGCAAGTAAAAATGTCTTTCAGGCCAAATGAAACACCTAGTTATGTGAGGAGGCAGGAAAAAAGATCTAAGTGACTTGGAAAGTTTACAGGATTCAAAGTCTAGTGCAGCTTGCTAAGAGAGTCAAAAAGGCTGTGAGTGACCAATGGCCCAATGGCCCTAGAAAGGACAGTGATGATGAAACACCAGGAAATGGATGTTCCAATTAAGACTTTTAATAAGAAGTCTTCATCTCAGGTTTTAATGAATATTCTGCATTTCCTCTGTTTTCCAGGCAAGAAGTCAAGGAGTTCTGTGTTTGGCTTGGTTTTGTATGGGATTGCACGTTACTGTGGAAGCTACAGCGGTTTCATGCTCTGTCCTGCTGCAAACGTTTTGGGTCATTTATTTGCCTTCCCTATTTCACTCTTCTGCATACTACTCAGTGCTTCCAAACAGCAAAGTTTTGTAAGCATAGCCATATAATTTTCATAATCAACTTGTCCCCACTTTCAAATCCAGAAGCTTAAATGCTCAGTGCTTCTGCGTAGTCCAAACACCTCGCACTCCAGTTCATCCCTCCCCTCTCCACCCTGCTGCCTGATTTCCTGACATGCAGAGGAAAGGATAAGTTCTGCAGTGCTTGGGAAATGCTTGTCCCTGAATGGTGCTCTTTGAGCTGACAGAGGAAGCAAACCCTGCCATGGTGAATCCCTCCCCAGCTGTGCCCTTCTAGCCACTGCTTCTCATCTGCACAAGCAGAACTCACCTCAAGTACCTGCACTGTGGGGCACAGCAAGAGGTGGTCTCTGTGGCAGGTTCATCCTGGCAACTTCTAGCTTCAAAAACATGAAGTCCACATTTTAGATTTCACCCAGTAACCACTCAGCAGCTCATGATGGCCATGTGTTAGCTATTTCATATGATTATGATAGGAAACTCCAATTAGCAAGCAATGAACATGTTGATTTCAAAGTCCATCTAGATAGCACTTTCACACTGTAGTATATATTCTTGCCATTTGTTAAACAGTACATCGTTAATGATTCTGGGAGGAAATTAATTAGTGAAATTGCTTAAAAGCCCCATACTGTGAATGTCAGCCACAGACCCTCTCAAAATAATGTGACACTAAAATTCATCCTAGATACCTTCCTCAAAGGACGTTTCTGAAATCATGCTTCCCCCTCTCAGACTGGGAATTAAACTACAAATGCTTTGCATTAAGTCAACTAGTTTCTAGTGTCTACATTCAATAAGAAAGTGTAATTGGAATATGCATTTTGGGATCCTGCTGGCTACAAATCATGTTACAAACTGATCCACAAATGACATGCCATCTAGGAACCAATTCAACAGCTGCTGATACTCAGCCATTTCTGGAACAAATGATGACAACTGCTTACAGGACCCTAACAGCAAAACTATGTCAGATACACAGCCAGAAGAGTACAGCACCAAATGCAACCAGATGAAAATTATAAATTTTCACAGTGTTAGAACTTGCTCTCAAAGTTATCCAGACTGCTTAAAGTTTTATCTTTGATACTATTTAAAAGTATCAACAACCTATTAAAATTAAGCCAACATAAAGTTCCTCTGTTAGCATGTCCTAGCTGGACAAGACAGCTTAGAAATACAATTTATTTTCCCCTGTCAGAGTTTTAGAAAGTGTCAGTGTGATAGAACAACTTTGGAGGAAAAAAAAGAAGAGCCACAAAAGAAAGCAGACTTTTCCATTCCTGCTTTATTTCACTCTGTAGAAACTCTCAGCTCAGATTATCCCCATCCTCTGAGAAATCATGCACCATTCACAGCTGCTCAGTAAGCAAACCTGGTTTATGTACTTGTGAACTAATATAATCAGTAATTATTATATATACATTAGAAAAAGATACAGGTATCAGTGTTTGATGCTATAATTTACACTCCCAATAGGTACTGAAATGAAGGATAATCCTCAGGTCTCCTGTATACCATTATTAGTAAATTTTACCAAAAGTTTCTGTTTTTTGTAAGGGCTATTTTTGTAAGTTCATTTGTTCATTTATCATCAGCATAATCAAAAATTAGTATATTAATCAGATAAAGTGGAATTCAAGTTGGTCAGTTTTACTCCTGATTTCAGCAACTATCAAGAACCTGAACCTGACTTTCCTCATACTCAATAGAGTCAACACACAGCTAGAGACACGGGCATCACTAAAAAACAGCCTTTCCCTGTGGAGCCACCCGTTTCCTACCTTCACAAGTTCTTTGTGATGCAATAACCACAAGACAGATTCTGATTTCAGTGGCTTAATCTCCCTGTCATCAAAGCAGTGACTTTAGGTTTACCTTACTGTAATGTCTTGACAAATTATTCCATATATCAACCAATACAAATGTAATACTAACCAGTAAGTGAGAACAAGACTAACATCTTAATGTGTTTATTTCCATTTGTAGCTTGCATAGTAAATTTATTGCAATGATAAGTGCTTTTTCTTGTGTCCTCACTTTATTTTCACCTTTGTTCTTCAAGAGGGTTATCGATTCGTCTCCTCTTCAAACACGGTATGATCTGGCAAGTCAAAGGGGATCATTTCAATGGTGAGGAGTGGATCACAACATAACCCTGAATAGCAGAACTAAAGAAATGCCATTTCTGGTTAAGCTTCTTGGCGCATCAGCAGTGCTGTTTTATGTGAAGAACCCCAAACCCTCTTCATGGACTACTGTCAAAGGCAGCTGGTTTGAAGAAATGCCTACCTGAAGACGGCAAGGCTCAGGGACCAGAGCACTAGTGGTTTCCTCAGTTCAAATTTTGCTCGTTTGTTCATTAGGTGCCGACCACCAAATATAAAGGCAGCATACAGAGCTGAAAATAGGAATGATTTCTTCCTGCAAAACAAAACCAAAAAACACCTGTCAAGTATTTAATTAGTATTAGATACACAGCAGTCACATCTGGACATAACTGCCAAGGGCTTAGGCTTTTGCATTTCCTTGAAAGGAAACTCTCTTGAAGACACTCCTGTGGCCCAGCTGAAATTATCAGTAGTGTATGAACTTACATGCCTGCACCTTTATAGGGTCAGGTCCAGGTGCAGGCAAAACTGACCCCGGGGAAGTTCTGAAAAAGGACAGCCAGATTTGGCTTCCATTCTTCCCCAGTTTCTGAACTTCTGTGAGGAACAGAATAGATATTGCAGAGCCCAGACACACTTCTGCAAGCACAATATGGTTGATAATTGAAGCAGCTGATCAACTTTTGTGGCTTATTTATCTTTTTCATACAAATTTTTGTTTCCTGCAGGCTCCTTGCTTCCTGGAAATTTAGTTATCGTTTTCTCCAAGAAGACACTCAAAGCTCGTGAGCACTGCAACACAACATGAAGAGCCTCATGAAAAGTGGAGAACCAGCAAGGAGAGGTCAATAGCTCTATTAAGCAGCGACACGATGGGTGACATTGCCCTGCTGCACAATCCCTGCTTGTGAGTGCCAGTTCTGGAAATGCAGTGAGTTTCCTGAAAGGTCAAGCAGGGCTCTGTTATGGAACTTCAATGATACTCTTAGAATTGCAAGTTTTATTTTTAAAACTGCCTGATAGTAGTCCAGCCAGCAATAATGAGCAAATATTTGAACTCTGCTACTATAATTCATCATAAAACCACCATTAGAGGTCAAAAATAGATCCAGTCTGGGATTCCTTCCCACACAGCACAATATTACACTAAGACTTAATGATGTACAGCATTAATGGTGGCCTAACTGGATAGGCATCTATTTAGGAACAGATTTTTCTCTACAAAATCCATAATTATATTCAAAAATACCAGTGGACTATAGCTTTGCACGAAGAGGTGATGGTTCTTTTTGGACCCCAAAAAGGAAAGAAAAACACTCTTAAGAAAGGTAACTACTTCATGAATATCCCAGAAAAGGCCTCAGCAAGCTACAAGATCCTATGTTCCCTCTGACACTGGAAGCCCAAGACGATGCAGTATCAGAAATACCTGTTATCAGGGTGCAGCACACCGCCCAGCCTTCCCAGTGGGGACAAGGTTCACCTGCATTGCGGTCTTTAGAGTTTTTATAGGATTTTCAATTGGATGTTATATGAAAGTATGTTGCTTCACCTCAATATAAAGACAAGGATATGCTCCTGGTGCCCCTACTGGTGCCAAGTAGGTGACACCTCCAGGCTCTTCCATTATGATTAGCCGGCTAAGGGCACCCCATGGCAAGGGATATCGGCAGCACACCACAGTCCTGAAGGCCAAACAATACATGCAGCACAGTATGGCACAGCACACCATGTGCCTGTGTCTGCTGAAGGCAAGTGGTAGACGGATCACAAGCCCCTCCATGTAAAAGGGTCTTCTCAGGAGGTCCACAAAAACTAAGAAAAGCTGTAGCTGTACATCTGACTGGAAGTACAAAGAAAGCACAGGCAGCCTTCATTGGAGAGAAACGAGTTTTATATATATTTGAAAGCTAAGTAAAAGCGAAGTCCATAGAGACAGAGGCATATCAGTATGCGTGCAGCAGCATGCCATTTTCTGCCCACTTAGAAACTCCTCTGTTTCTATTGACATGTTTATAGCTCTGTGTTGCAAAACACAGGTAACCTCGTGAAAATCCAACTGGTGCTCTGCACTGAGAAGGAAGAATCTGGTGCCTGTGGTCCCCCAGGTGAGCTTTTGCATCCGTGCTGGCAACAAGCCCCAAGAAGACCAGGATGACCACAGAGTCAGCGCCTTTTCACCTTCTGCACTGAGATGGTTTCATTGCCATGGCAATGTTTTTTACAACTGGGTTCTGAAAACCACAAAGCATCAGCCCTTATTCATCTCATAATAAAGAAAAAAGCATTTATTTTCACTTCTATGGTCTTGAATTTCACAGTCAAGGAAGGGGTAGAATTACCACATTTGATAGCATGGTTGCAGTTTAGCTTGGATGGAGGTCAGCAAATAATTGTAACCAGTTTGGGTAGTGATGAACCACCTCAAACTTGCTCAAACCAAACCGCCTGTTAAGACAAGATTTGTACATTACGGGACAGGAACAGACTCTCCGTGTGAGGTTGGACTGCATTCCCATCTCCATCCCTCTGCGGCCTCTTGTGTGCAGAGCTGCCCATTGCTAACGTAAGCATGGGCAAGGAAAGGCAGTGGGTATGTGATGGGCTCTCCCACAGCCTGCAGTGCTGTCCTGGCTGCCCCAGAGCATTAGGAGAGACATCCGCTCTGCATGCTTCTGCCCCCTCAACCCCACAAAAGTCTGGGCTTACAGCACTGAGCCAGACAGACAGCAATGCACACAAAGAGGTATGGAGATACACATACACGTGTGCTGCCACTAGGGCCAGTCAGTCATCTGCTGGGGTCCCACGGGAGGGATCCTGCAGACTCACGCTACAGGGGAGGTGCAAATCCCCCACCTCACAGCACTGCAGTGGGAGTCCCTCACACCAGAGACAGGCAAGGTTTGTATTGCACTGGTCCATACATGGAGCTCCAAAGCAACTGAGAGCAGTGCAGGATGGCAACACCTCAGCGCAGGGGAAAAGACTGCAACACAGTGCTGCCATGGAGCTGCCAACAGGACATGGGCTACGTGGGCTGACATGGGGAGATGTCAGGATTTAAGAGCAGTAGCTGGAGATACTTTGCAGGAAGGCAGGCAGGCAGGAAGCAGTTCAGTTCTGATCAAATACAGCCAAGACTTCAAAATAATGGTTTGACTTCAGTTCCAACTAAAGAAAAAAAGACCGGTCTGCATGAGTTAGCAGCTCAGGTCTGTGCTGTTTGACTCCCTTCTTCCTGGACAAGATATACTCTATATATTTACACCAAGTAACATTTTGGTTTGCTTATTACTCAAACTGTTTTTTGTGAGTTCAGTCAGTCTATTGAGGTCAATAGGTATATTATACTAATTAGAACAGATAAATTTTAGGTCACCTTTAACAGCTTTGTAATGAGTTCAGCATTATTTGCAATGATTGTAAATGGTATTGCCACAGTATACAGCTTTATATAGGTGGTGGCAGACATGAGAAGATTTGACTGCACGCATGATGAGAACTGCAGAGAGCAGCTGTAAGCAGTTTCAGATGAGGGATGCAGTAGTATTACCTTCTATCAGAGGTAAGCACAATACTGAATAATGATCAGCCCAATTTTGAAATCATCTCTCTGCTTTGACACCTGCTGACAACTTTTCACAGTTTTTGCATCCAAATTACTTTGAGTTTTCCCCTCTTTGCAGCATAATAATGGTTAAAACGACTGGGTAGTCCAGGTGATACAAAGGGGTTGCAGAGGTATGTACTCTTAAAATAATCTGTTTAACTGCATTAGACTGGTATTAACCAGCTTCCTATCAGTGTTTTTATGATGGCTTTTCCTGAGAGGTTCATGACTACAGTCTGTACCTGGGCTGGTGACACAAAGCAATGGCAATCTGACAGCATTCAATTATATCTGATACAGGTTTAGCCAAAGGAGGCTAACCAAATAAGCATTTTTAAAGGCAGAGTTTTAGAGTTGTTCTGGAGCACTGTAACTTTTCATTACTATTATCTGAAGACAAACTAAACAGAGCAGAAGGACAACAAAAAAAAATTAACCTTGAAACTAAAACAATAAAAAAATCCCCAAAGTAATTCAGTAGCAGACTCGCATCCAGTAACTTCAACGTTAGCACATTCATATGTTTGTCTTCAATTCTGTTCTACAGGGTAACACAGTAGACATAAAGACAGGGCTGCCAAATCCTCCACATTTTTCTGGCATTTCTGTTTCTCACAGTTGTCTCCCACCTTCCTACATTTTCAGACTTCAGGGACTAAGTACTATCTCTACTGAATACAACTCCATGTTTCCCTGTTGAAAGTTGCCAGCTCTTTCCCCCAAAAGGGAGGCAGGGGAATTTTCTGGAGAACCTACAAAATGCTGTGCTCAGGCTGGGGATTACTACAAGAAAGGGAGGCAAGAGTTCGGGGCTACAGTTGGAAGATGTGAGGCAGCAGAGAGGTGGCTGTATCACGAGGCAAGGGAACAGGCAGAAGCAGCTGACATGATGGGAGAAACAGAAAAGGAAGGATGAACGGTAAGCATGACAGCAAATGAGGGGAGCTGGCAGCCAAGAGATGGACATGAAGATGGGATAGCATGGAAGGGAAGGAAATTTGAAGTCCTTTCTCTGCAGAAACCCCTGGAGGGATGCTTCCTGCACCCAAGGGCACACCAGTGGGCTCAGGCTACCCACGCTGAACAGAGAGCCGGTTACTCTCCTGCAAAAATCCTACAACAGGGACAGGTGGTATTATCATCCCCTGGACCACAGCCCATGGTTTCTGCTTGTCCCTTTTCACTGTGTAAACCACAGGCAGGTGATGTGTTTTCTCAAGGATGGATGAAAGTCTGGGCACTGATGTGCTTTTTAGAAGCTCAAATCCTTTATTAAGTCTGCCCTGTGGCAGAGGAATGGAGACAGGCAAGAAGGAAAAGGAGTACAACTGGGAAGAGGGAGGCAGAAACTGGGGCTGATAAAGGAAGACAGAGGAAATCCACCCCACCAGGAACAAAGCTTCTCCTCATCCGCAGCCAGGAAAGCCCACCCAGGCACCAAGGAACGACAGGGAGAGATCAGACATCCAGCCTCAGGCAGGAAAACACAACACAGAAAGGGGCAGCAAATAATCCAAAGAAGAAAGCAATGGTAAACAGACAGCTAATAACTAAGAAATCTTGAGTCCCCCAGAAGAATGTTATTTATAAAATACTGAAAGAATTACCACAGTATTCTAAAATAAGGGGCCAAAGCCTGAGGGTGAGCCTCTTGCACAGCAGCGTGAGACATCCGGGTGTCTCTGATGCAAAGTGAAATA